ACACTTGACCCTACTATGTGTGAGGCACAATTTTAAGCTACAAACAAGACAGACAAGATCCTTGCTGTCATGGAAGTGCATTTTAGTGGGGGTAATAACAGACAAAAAAAAAAAAAAAAAAAAGATAATTTCAGGTACTGAGAGGTTTTCTGAAGATAATCAAATAGGGTCCCATCCCAAAGACTATCTGTGGAAACCACCTTAGATGGGGTGGTCAGGGAAGGCCTCTCTGAAGAAGTGACATCTGAACTGAGACAGTACTAATGGGAAGGAAGAGCGAATGCCAAGGTCCTGAGACTCATACATCATGGTGTCTTCAAGGAACAGAAAGAATGCTGGAGCCTAGTGAGCAAAGGGAAGGGCGGGGGAGACGAGAAAATTGTTTGACGATAATAGTATTTCTGCTTCTGGGGGTTGAAGTTGAAAGAGCAATGTCTCGGCTGCTTTTCTGCGAATGCTCTCTCTTCTCTAAGTTATTTGGGAGAAGCGTGGGAAGTCAGGAAAACGGCAACGAAGTTTGCCCCATTACCAAGCAGAGGGGCACTTAGTCCTCCAGATGTGGCCTTCACCTCCATTCTTCCTCAACGCTAATGAGGCCAAGGTTTGACCCGTCTCAGGTCAGTCAGCTCTGCGCAGGAGGAAAGGGCATCAGGTCACAGCTCGACTGCTTCTCCCCTCGCAGCCAGTCTTCTCACACGTACGTGCTGCAGGTCATGGGGGGACTGGGTGCTTCACAGATCCTGGCGAGCGTCTCCCGGCACGAGACACTTGTCCCGAGCGCTTCAGAGAGGCTCCTGTGTATGCTCAGACCACCCAAGGTGCGGCCCAGATTCTCCCATCTCACAGACCCAAAAGCTTACGTGACTTGTTCAGGATCATACAGCAGGAAATGGTAGAGTAAGAATGAAACCCAGTTTTTCTTTTTAATTTCATAATTCGTTCATTGGACATGAATATTCCTGCCACTCAAAAAGTTATAGAGAAAACACATTAAAACCTGTGTACTCCATACACAGCTCAAGAAACACTTGTACCTCTCCCCACTCTACTAAACCAGGTGGCTTCAGTTCCTCCTACTTGGGAGACACTGCAAATGGCATCACCATCCATTCCACAGTGCAGGCCAGAGATCCAGCAGGCACCAGTGACACCTCCCTCTTCTTCCAGTCAGTTACCAAGTTCAATTAATTTTGCTATCTATTTCCACTACTACTTCTTCCCTTCTCCTTTCTCCAAGGATCATCTCTTACCTGGACTATTGCAATGGCCTACTAACTGGTCTCCCTGCATCTACTCTTCCCTCTTTCCAGGCTAATCTCCACATTATAACCACCAACCTTCTTAACACCTTTGAATAGCTGCCCTTTGCTCTTAAGATATAGACAAAATCATCTGCATGGCACGCAAGATCTCACACGGTCTTTCTCCTACTCAACACTCTAGCTTTACCTCATTCCCTTGTTCTCTGTGCTTTGGAGGTACTGGCCCTCTTGCAGTTCCTTATAATCCCCAAGCTCCCTCCCACCACAGGGCTTTTTCACATGCTATTCCTCCCTTCTCCACCTGAACAAGTCTCTTCTCTTTCTAATAATTTTTTATTTATTTATTTTTCCCCCAAAGCCCCAGTAGATAGTTGTATGTCATAGCTGCACATCCTTCTAGTTGCTGTATGTGGGACGCGGCCTCAGCATGGCCGGAGAAGCGGTGCGTCAGTGCGTGCCCGGGATCCGAACTGGGGCCGCCAGTAGCGGAGCGCGCGCACTTAACTGCTAAGCCACGGGGCCGGCCCGTCTCTTCTCTTTCTCAAGTAAGCTTTCCCTGAGTGTCCTGAGTCATTCTTTGGCATTGGGCATTTTTACAACTTTACATTTGTTTGAGAATTTTTTTTTTGTGAGGAGATCAGCCCTGTGCTAACATCTGCCAATCCTCCTCTTTTTTTGCCGAGGAAGACTGGCCCTGGGCTAACATCCGTGCCCATCTTCCTCCACTTTATATGGGACGCTGCCACAGCATGGCTTGCCAAGCGGTGCGTCGGTGCGCGCCCAGGATCCGAACCGGCGAACCCTGGGCTGCTGCAGTGGAGCGCGCACACTTAACCGCTTGCGCCACCGGGCCAGCCCCAACATTTGTTTGAGATTAACTGATTAAAGTCTTTCTTCTCTAACAGGTCAAGGACCAAGAACCACTCACTTAGTACAAAATACATGCTAAATACATAATAGCCAACATATATAAACATGCCAAGCAGTGTTCCTAGCCCTTAACATGTATTAACTCACTTAAAGACTTTCCAAAAGCGTACACAAAATAGGTACAATTATTAGCCGCATTTTAGCAAAGTCAGTCACACAAGCTAAGAAGAGGCAGAGCTGGGATATGAACTCGGGCGGACAGTTTCTGGAGTCTGTGTGCTCAATACCTTTTGGTGCCTCACTAGCATCTGCTGAGTGCAGGCTAGTGTTGAGTGCTTTGGACAGGGACTAGCCAGCATCATCAGGAACCTTAGTTCAACTAAAAACTCATTTCACTTGGGTTTTGGGAAGGATCTTTTGTTTGACTGGAACTTTGCTGCAAAACATTTATCTTCCCAGCATTTTATTTCAGCTACTTTAAAAATCCATTTGCCCTCACTGGTATTATCATGACTGATGTCAAGTAGAGGGGGTGGCTCAGCACACCGGTGAGAGCAGGAGAAAGCTGGCTTGGAGTGAGACAAAACTCTGGATCATTTGTAGTATGGGTAATCCGCATAAGGGCAGTCCAAAGATTTTCATGGAGGTCATCTCGCTTAACCTTCATTGATTCCTAATAAAGTTACACACACAGGGCTGTTCTTCCTCAGTTAACAGATGAAGCCAAAGGCCGGGTTAGGAGGATGGCTAAGCCACAGGAAATCCGCTAGTCACAGAATGAGGTGAGGAATGGTGTCCCCACACTTCCAGCATCACAACTGCAAAGATATCTCTAGCAGAGAAAGACCTCTTCTTTCTCTTTTAAGGTTAAAGGTAGCTGGCCAAGCTTTTTTTTTTCTTTTTTCTCCCCAAAGCCCCAGTACACAGTTGTCTTAGTTGTAGGTCCTTCTAATTCTTCTACGTGGGACGCTGCCTCAGCACGGCTTGATGAGCAGTGAGTATGTCTGTGCCCAGGATCCGAACTGGCGAACACCCGGGTCGCCGAAGTGGAACGCGGGAACCCAACCACTATGCCACAGTACCCGTCCCAAGCTTTTCTAATTCTTGGGTGGAATCTCTCAGAGAGGACAGAGTTCCTCCCAGGTATTCCCAGTATGACTAGAGTAGGGCAATTATTCCACAAGCTCAAGCTATTTGGTAAAGAGCTCTATAAGCTATACCCAATTAACCCGAGATCAATACAATGAAAATGTAGTAATTCAGGACATTCTTCACGGGGAGCCCATGTACCAATGTCAGGGAAGTCAAACTGTATGCACATTTTCTTTATGTGCATTCTGCTAAGGAAAGGCTTTCATTAGTTTCTTCCAGGGCTTAGAACTAAATAAGGCTAAGAACCACGATCCTTTATGCTTGTACACACATTCCTGCTGGCTCACGGTTGTGCCTTGATTAGAGGCACCTTCGCAGGATGAAACATTTCTATTCCTTTAAGTACCTGGTAGCTATGGATGGGGCGTCTAAGAGAAATCCAAATGCCCATCCCACGTGAGTTAGGCCTTAAAACAGCACAAGCCTCAAACCCTATAAATAGATCTAAAAGATCTGCATGCGCATTCTCCTCCTTGGAAAGGAAGCTGCGTGTAAGGCCAAGGGCAGTCAGGAGCGCTTGAATCCAGTCCAGACCAGGCCACTAACCCGCTGTGTAACCTTGGACACGTTGCATACCCTCTCTGGGCTTCAGTTTCCACATCTGCAAATTGGAAGTTGAACCGCATGGTCTTCAAGGTCCTTCCCAGCCGAGAGCCTGGTACCAAGGAGGCCTAACCATTAAAGCAGCTTCCTGTGGGCGCGGTGCAGGGCTTTAACGGTCCCCCCTCCCCCGCTCGGGCCCGCGAAATCCTCTTCAACACGCCCCTCGGAGTGACGGCGCTTCCCCAACCGCAGCCCGCACACGGCTCCGCCCCTTCCCGGAGGCGTCCCGTCGTGCCCCGCGCCGGGCTCCGAAAGCGGCGGGGCACCTCCCGCCTTCCCGCGGCCGCGACCCCGAACTCCTCTCCCCAGTTCTCCCGGGCGCCCTATCCCATCAACGTCTAGGATCCCAGCCAATCACGCGGGCCCAGAGTCTTGCCTTCGGTCCACCCTCCTCCCAGCGCGCAGCCGGTCTGAGCTCAAGGCCTTTACCAGGCCAACCCAATCAGCGGCCGGCTCTCGCCTGCCCCACCCCGACCTCTCTCCCCTCGACCAATCCGCACGCCCCATTCCGCTGCCCGCCCAGCCAACCCGGGCCTTGAAACTGGCGGGCAAATCAGTGCATGGCGGCCCTTCAACGCTGCCCGCCCGGCCAATTGGGGATTCCGCGTGGCCAGGGCGGCAGCCAATCGGCGAGGAGCGCGGTGCCGCCGCGGAGAGGCCCGGCCCGAATATCCCTCCGCCTTCCTCCCTCCTCTCTCTCCCTCCCTGCGAGCCGCCGTTCACTTATCGCCTCCCTTCCTTCTTTCTCCCTCCGCCGCCCGAGCACCAGCCGCGCTCCGAGCTGCCCCCGGGGTCCCTCCCCCGCCGCCCGAGGAGCAGCTGCCATCGCCGCCAGCAGCAAAATAGGAGGGAGGAAGGAAGGCCAGGAGGAAGGCAGGGGAGCCGGAGCGACCACCAAGAGGGAGCCGGTGAATGGGCTTGTGGTGACCCCCGCCCCCCACCCCACCCTCCCTTCCCACCCGACCCCCAACCCCCATCCCCAGTGAGAGCCGCCGCCCGAGAGGCCGGGCCGTCGTCTTAGGAGGAGCCGCTGCCACCTCCTCCGCCATGGAGCTGATCACCATCCTCGAGAAGACCGTGTCCCCCGGTAGGACGCGGGGGCCGGGGGTCGCGCCGAGGTGACCGGGTGGGGGAAGGGGGCCCCCCGGCCCTTCTGACCCTGTCCCCTTTCCCACTTTCCTTCCCCCAGATCGGCTGGAACTGGAAGCGGCGCAGAAGTTCCTGGAGCGTGCGGCCGTGGAGAACCTGGTGCGTGCCGGCCGCCGTCCCCATCCCGCCGTCTCCCATCCTTGCGTGCGGGCCTTCCCGCCCTCCCGGAGGCCCAGGCCTCGGGAACCCACCCCGCCCCATCCCGTCCCCCTCCCCCCGCCCGGTCCAACCTAACCCCGCCATCGGGAAGCCGGTGGGTGTGTCCCGCCCCGGGCCCCGCAGTGGGCCAATGGCGCGGCGCGCCGGGGGGACCGCCGCCCAATCGCCGCGCGGCCTGAGGGCGGCGGTGCAGCGCGAGGGAGAAAGAGGGAGGGAAGGGAAGTTAGGTTGCGCGGCGCTGCGTGTTCAGCAAGGGTGGGGGTGGGGGAGCCGGGCCTAGGGGCCATGTGGAAGCTCGGAGTCCGGCTGCCCGCCTGGTCTCATCCGGGCCGGCTTCTCTCTCCTGTCCCGTGGCCCATGTGATTTTAGATTCTCTCCACCTACTTCCCAGAGCGCTACGCTTTCCTATATCCCTTGGTCTGTGCTCAGGACCAGGCCTGGCACCCAAATGCCCGTTCCGGCAGTATTTCTCCGTTTCCTGCCTGGTTATTCCTCTCCTGGGGTATTTTTTTTTACATCAATTGAGTGGAGACTTAATCTGTACCCAGACAACCCGCTGAGGCTCATCCTTGAGATCGGGCCTGTGTCCAGATGAAATCACAGAGGAAAGTTCTTCGTTTTTCGTATTTTCAAATTTAAGGGCTACAGACAAAAAATGAAGATAAGTCCACTAGAGACTGGATCTCGAAATAAAAACGTGGGATGGATTGGTTGAAACAGCCTATGTACCAGTAATGTTTTCCTTTGGTGTCCTCCTTCTGTTGGGGGGGATGGGGAGCAGAGGGAAGGGTGGATGATACTTGACATCTTTTAAAAAGTATTAGGTAATAAATCTAAATAACACTAATTAAACGTGGTCCCTTGTGTTATCTGGGCAAAGTAATGTAAACAAAAAAAGTGACGAGGCTTATTTTATACAAACTGCCTTTAATCATTTTTTCCCCCCTCATATGTGCTAGTTTTTAGTACTAATCTTTTAATCCTTGACTTTCTGTAGAAAAGATATTTTGCACTAGTGTAGACTGATAACATTTCCATTTAGGGTATATTCTTGTTTCTACTTTTGCTAATATGCAAGAAGGCTTTTATCTTGTTCCTAACATCTTATTCCTAACATTCTTTAGTGGTACATAATTAATAAAACTTTTAAGAATTATCTTCTGCTGTGATTGCAGAACTTGTTAGTGATAAGAAAGTACCTGCTTTTGGTTTTTCCTGTTAACTTTTCCATTTGGACAGAGCTTTCTGAGGGTAAGAGGAGGAGAGTGTGTTACAATTTTTAAACAAAGGGAGTAGTTTTGGGGACCCGTGCATTACAAAAGATTAAGTATGCTTTTCAGGAATCCAGTATGTTTAGTGGATAACTCAAGTACAAAATGTGTAGGAGGTTGTAGCGTATTAACTGTTAACTATTAAATATAAAATTATTTTCCTTGACATTTTTAACTTTTCAATGTTCTCCTATTCCTAAATATTTATGTTTTTGCTTGTAAATCTGCTTTTTTCATTGTTCCCCTTTTACTGAACACTTAGAACTAAAATAGAACTAACCTCCGAAGTCCATGTTTTAGGTTTATAAGTATTTCCCTCTCTTTTACAAGGTTACCTGCTTCCATGAGATCAAAATCCACCTTGAGTATCATTCTTTTTGGACTAAGATTTTTTAAATTTAGAAAAACAATTTTATTTTCTACCCTGTCGTGACATGTTCATTCATTTAACAAATATTTATTGAGTACTAGGCACTGTTGTAAGTACAGAGAAGAATCCTCTGACTACCACATTGTCAAATTTGCTTTAGTACTGAGGGATCTAATGTGAAGATCTGATGTTGGTAGCAAAATCTGTAACTCTTTGTTAAATGCTGAGGCTGCATGAGAACATGGATGACTTCTTTATATACCAAGTAACATTTTTATAAGAGTTTTGAAGTAGATATTTTGACATTTTCTGAGACGTTATGATATGTTCTAAAAAATTTAGATTTTCCCCAGTGTTTTGGTGCTCTGTAATTCATTCTCAATTGGTGAAATTCCTAAGAGAGATTTTCATTCACAAATGCATCTTCTCTTAACAGCCCACTTTCCTTGTGGAACTGTCCAGAGTGCTGGCAAATCCAGGAAACAGTCAGGTTGCCAGAGTTGCAGCTGGTCTACAAATCAAGAACTCTTTGACATCTAAAGATCCAGATATCAAGGCACAGTATCAGCAGAGGTGGCTTGCTATTGATGCTAATGCTCGACGGGAAGTCAAGAATTATGTAAGTGACTTTCATCTCATTCTGGTCATATTAGCCTAGGGAACAAGAAACATCTTTGTCAGTTTTTTGTCATTTAAATGGGATAGAGCTGACAGTGTAATAGGTTTCTGGGACCTAAACTTCACTTGAAGATAGAAATCGTATTTGATTTAAATCTTCTTTCTCAGTTCAGCTTGTCTGTTCCCATTAATGCATTGGAATTTTTTTTTAGACAAATGAGATAGACTGCAGCAGTTTGGGAAACTTGAATTAGATGCCAGAATTTGTAGAGTCTCTGGTGAATTTGCATGGTAGACAAATTGGTGGTTCCCAACTTGGACTATCAGAATCACTTAGAGAATTTGTTAATGATATGTATTTCCAGGCTCCCTGCAGAGATTCCCATTTGGAGTGAGGTTCAGGGATATTTTTTAAACTGTCTTCCCAAGTGATTCTTCCATAGTCACCCAGCACCTGGCTCTTGTTGAACTTCTGCTATAGATAATTTTCGTTGTTTGGTGGTTTAGGCATGGCACTATGTGCAGTCAGAAGGGGAATTAAATGATCTCTTGGGCCTTTCAAGCCCAAAGAGTTGGAAAAATAAGATTATGACGTTAATGGTGCTTTTATCTACTTAGCAAATTATGAAAAACTTTTTTTAGGAACATTTGGCTTTTTATCAAGGGGTTTAAAGAGCTGGACTGATGAATTTTGAGGAAAATTGAATGTCCCTTGTTGCTCTGCACCATGGAGTTCTTGTGACTTTTTTGCTGAGTTAGAAATCCATAATTCTAGCTACAGCAAAGGATTCAGAATATGTGGACAGATGTTCGCTTTTTTCTTATTTTTTTTAGTTAATGAGATTCTTTAGTGGCCTGTCTTACATGGATAAGGCACAGAGCATAGTAAGTAAGCATCTGTGCAGTCATCGATTCGTCCTTGGTTTTTGAGGGGAAACCAGTGGGGGATTCCTGTGGGTGTGCTTGTGCAGGTCATGGTTATGCACATCATATTTGCTGTTTCCTTTTTCTAGGTGTCAGCATTAGGTAAATTAGTTCCCCTTAAGGCAGTAACTTCTCTTTCTAGTTATGTACCTCCTTCCCTCTCCAATCTTGCATGGAGGTGCTCATGACTTGGAACTAGGTTATGAAAGCCAACTTTGAGTCTTCTTCAATATATGTAGAGCTATTTCTATCCACATTGGGTCTGCTTATGTAATAACATTTTAATCTTTAGCTCAGTAATTTGATATAAATGAAGTTTATTTTATCAGTCACTGGAAATCGTGGGGCTTATAGTCCCCATTCATTTTCTCATCTTAAATTACACAATAGTAAATGAGATAAGACACGATTGGAACTGTAATTGACTGGTTTTTGTTTGTTTGGTTGGTTTTTAGCATATCACTCTTAACACCAAAGTTATTTTTAATTTGGATGAGAATTTATTTAGGCCTTGTTGAGCCCTTGTGCGTGAACAATAATTTAGCAGTTGTCTTGGCCTTTTTCCCTTTCAT